AATATGGACTGATCTGTGACTGCACATAGTGGGACTTATATTCTTTTTGGTCTGGGATGTCTGTATCACTTAATACTATTCAAGATTATTTGCTTGGAAGTGAGCAATTAATCATGTCTACCATGAGAATAGGAAAGGAGGTTATTTCAAGATTGCCTTCTTTGCTAATATTGAATGGCCTTGGGACCAACTGAAGTCTGCAGCTCTTTGTCATATATTTGTGCAAGTGGAGTCATGTATTTGTGCAATTAAGTCTTTGAGCCAGAGTGCATCAGTTAAACTTGTTAGTTTAAGTTCATTGTTTGAACTATCTTTGGAACTCAATTCTGTTCTCCAGTGTATTAATCATCACTCCCAGCTCTAATCAGCTACAGAATTGAAAAGATACTTTCCATATCTTTATCTAAATCATTGCTATCAATGTTGAACAGAGCATGTCAGTGAGAACATAATGGAAATAACCACAAAGGAAAAACAATAACGGCTAACACATATTGAGTGCTTTCTACAAGCCAGCCATTAGGCTAAGCACTTCATATCTTCAATAGGTTTTCTCATTATTATCTTTACAACAAATCTACACATTAATACTATTATTAGCAATGATTATTATCTGTATTTTACAGACAAAGAAGCTGTGGCACAGAGAGGTTTAAGTAACATGGGCAATGTGGTCACCCAGCCAGTAAGTGAAATTTCTTCCAATATCCTGGCATTACAATGCATCTGAGCCTGAAAAACCACCCAGTCTGGGTTCCATTTGCTTCAGTAATTTTTGTCTACCTCTCTTCATAAAGACTTTTCTCCCTAATGGAGCAAATAGGACAAGATGAAAGATAATGACTTCTCTCTTTTATCTAATAATATATACGATGTACACTGAGTCATTGGGCTTATCACTTCCTTGTTTTTTTTCCCCCAAACATGACCACAAATTCCGATAGTGTTTCCCCATGTTTCTGTTTGTTCTGGGCCTTAATCTTTCTGACTTATTCTAAGAGTTTCATCTCTCACTTGTACCCCTTTCCCTCTTGTACAGATGTCCATGTAAAATTTAATCTGATGGGAGGCACACTGAGCATCTTCTTTGGCCTTGGAGAGGCCTCTTGCCCTTTTCCTCCTGGCTTCCAAAAGTGATCAAAGATCATGAGATGGAAATTTCATTCTTCAAACCTCTCATTCCCTTTGAGCAAATGTTCTTTAAAGAGATCTTGACTCTCTCAGGACCTCTTGGTAAGCTTCTTTTCCGAAAATCTAGGGTATGTGAATCTGATTTTGACTCTCTTTTTGTCATTAAAAACTGGAAGGTGAGTTTTTCATCTTCTTTCCAAGTTCTTCAAACTTTTGTATCTTCATAGTATTAAGACCAAAATGGAAGATTCCTATTTTTCCTTGCTTAATATTAAGACCAAAAAGGAAGATGCTGTCATTCTTGCTTCAACATTCAGAGAGGTAGGTGAGGTGAGTTACACAATATTTTAGTATAAGAAACATCTTAATGATGGTTTCAGAAGACTATGATCAATGTATTGACAATGTTTTTATCTTCTTTACTGACTGCTTTTTGTATCTATTTTTCATCAAACAGTTTAAATGCTGTGGTTTGGTCGATGGAGCTGCTGACTGGGGTGGTAATTTTCAACAGTATTCCAAGTCATGTGAATGTTCAGATGTGCCAGTTTCTTCTTGCACAGTTTATGGAGACAAGACTGTTTACAAACAGGTAAGAACAAATCAAACTTGGCACAGTAAGTCATTCTGTTAATTTTTTTCACAATGCCAGTTTTTACAAAAAATTAAATTGCAATTAATGGGAATCATGACGTAAAAGTCCCAGGAATTTCCCAAATAAAAAAGAAATCCTTATTTAAAGATAAAAGTGGATATAAAGAAGATGAAAGTATTTCCTTTCTTCTATGAGTCTGGCATCATTTAAATTCAACCCTAATAGATCAAAGTAGCATTCTATTGTAAGGGAAGGCAAAGTACAATCTAGCGGATAAAAATTTATTTTGTCCTCTTTTTGGTGAATTTAACCATTAGTCTCTATTTTTTTCTATTTTAACATAAGTTCTAGAAATCTATATTTTCACTTTAACTTTAAAATTAAATCTTTCTTTTTCTAATCAAATGTTCCTTTTCTCAAGTAAATTTATAGGCATAAGGAAAAGACTTGGCCTTTTGGGAGTTTCAGCTCTGGATGTTAAGTGTGCTTACTAATTTGACTAATTATTACTCCAATTTAAAAATTGCCTCAAGTATTTAAAGTCAATTGAAAAATCTGGGTTTATCTTTTATGTGGTGTAGATGTCATATTTATGTCACTTGTGGATGTCAATATGTGAATGTCATATTTCTTATTATTGCTTAATTCATCAACTATGTGTTGACCACCTCCTATGTACCAGGCCTTCTACCAGCCACTGGAGACCCATTCCTGAACAGGGCACAGTGTCTGCCCTCAGAGAAGAGAAAGATAATTAGGCAACTTCAACCCAATGAACTATTGGTATTTCTTGGATGGGGGGCAGGCACAAAGTGTTATGGGACCCCATCTAACTTAGTCTTTGGGTTCAAAGTATGGCTTCTTAGAGGGCATGATATCTGTCTCTTACCACAGAGCTTTATATAATTTGTTTCTTTTGCCTGGAAGGAATGTGTATAAAAATGACAATTGATATTAATGATATTACTATTTCATTTATGTGCTGTTATTCTTTAGTGCCCCTACTATGTGTCCGACAGACCCTTGCTAGAATCTGACATGCTTCTGGATCCTCTAGGGGATTATAGTTTAATTGGGAGAGAGATATGTAACAGCTATTATAATTCAATGAATTAATTTCTGTAATACCTGAAAATTATTTTCAATCTAGTATTGGCTTAGTAATGGCTCTGAGGTTAATTTTATACTAGGAAATAGAAAGTATCTCAGGAGAAACTTCACTGCTGCAGATTATCATATCCCTTTTCCTACCCTTATCAAAATTAAGGAGACAGTTCTGAAGGGGAATTGCCATTACTAGTATTTAAAGTAATACATGGAGGAGACGTTATCTATCAGACTATATGTCTTTTCATTGTCCAAGTAATGTCAGTAAAAAAATTTTGTTCTTACTTTTTATATTCCACCCTGCTCTCTTCCTCCATACCTAATTTTAGTGACACAGTATCTACCCACAAGGAAGAGGGAAACAAATATGATGTAAACAAGTGTAGCTTCTACTTAGGATAATAAGGAAATTAGTAAATTGAATTGCAGATTGCTATCTGTCTCCTTGATTCATTTTAAAGATTCAATTCGAAGATGTTTTTCTTCAGGGTAGATTTTGAAAAGCCCCAGCATTATCCTAAAAAAAATAACTAATAGACATTCCCTCTAAATTCACACATAATTCAGCTGAATCTAGGCTGATAGCTGCAGCAGTTTCCCAAAAGGAAGGACATAAATTCATAAAATACTTCCATCTGCCTTGTGTCATTTACAAGAAGTCTGGAAAAGTAAAAAATCCGAAATGGCCATAATTTGTTTCTTTTTTCCCCCCCCTCCCTTTTGCCAAGATAACCTGGTTATCTAGAGAAGAAAGGGGGAGAAAACTCTTCAAGTATAACAAATGTGACTCAGTAGATGTGATCATTAATCTCCTAGTTATCCTAAATGAAATAATAATTTCTTCTGATGTTTACCACTTTGGATCAGATGAGAACGGAGAAATCCATTACATTCAGGAATGAAGGGGAAAAGACTGTCTTACTCAGCCTTACAGAGAATTTTTATTTTATTTTACAAATTGCAACATTTTTGTTAGCCCTTTGCATATATAAGACTATCATAGATAAGGATGATATCTTTTCTGGCAATACAGATAACAGCACTATTGCACTGTGTCGTATTTTGCATTTTTAAAAGTATTCATATAATTTACAATTTTTAGAATTTTTAGGTCTGTTCTGAAATGTTTTAAGCTTGGAATTCCATGCTGATTCAAATAAATTTCAAAAAAATATGGTAGAGAGGCAACTATCCAAATTCTCATTTTTATCTAAAGTAAGGAAATAATAATGGACATAATGAATTTTTTTTCTTTTTAAGGTAAAAAAAACACCAATAAATATCAGTCAGGGACTTTTGAAAAATCTTGTTTTGAAAATGAAAATTTGTACCATAATTAGCTGAAAGCCCAACCAGGGAACTCTCTGCTGCAGAACACCAACCTAGAAAATACACAACCCAGGTGATAACAGCTCTAAAATGAATAGTTGTAAGTTAAGATAAAATTGTTATAACTAAAGATCCTTAGATTCAGCAATGACATAGTTGAAGCAAAACTTTGTGCCTCAAATGCCTTTTAAGGCATGAAAAACCACAAGTGCTACCTTTTTGGGGTGGGGGGAGCATGAAGTGGAGGCAGTAATCCAACTCCTTTCTGCTGAGTTTCTTTCTTGCTAACAATGTAAAAAGTCAACCCAATGGACAAAAGAAATCTTATTTCAAATAAGGTCATCAAAAATGTGATTAAAGGTAACTTTTTATGTTTTTTTTTTAACAGCCATGCATTTCTCTGATAAAAGACTTAGCTAAAAAACACATTGTCATAATAATTGGAATAGCATTTGGACTGGCAGTTATCGAGGTACAGTATAATCCTGCATTACTGACTCTTTATTCATTCCCTTGTTTGTTCCATTAGTTCTTCTAACAAATATTTATGGTGAGACAAATAAAAACCAGGTGCTTCAGAAAAGCACTGGGTACCAAGTACCCAAAGGCCAACATCTCCTTCTACCGGCCTTGGATCTGGGGATGGGATTACAATCTTACGAACTGAGCAGGGCTAAGCCTATTATTTCTGAGTGATCTCTCTACTGGGAAATAAACATTGAATTAATTTCCACATAGTTCTTAGTCCCAGGTATCCTTTCCCCATTGAAAATACAAGAGTTAAAGTTTCTGATGTTAGAAAAAAAAAGCACCAAACAAATCCAAAACATGACCTTTACATGTTCTCATCTCTCTTCCTGATTTTGAAACTGCAAATAAATACCAAACTCAAGAGTGTGGGGAGCTGTTTTCCTGCTATTCCATTCTAGAGAAATCCAACAAGTTCTAAAAACTCCAGATAGTTGCCTTTGATTTTTCTCACTGTGAGGACAATGGACTCACTTGGAGAAGTTTTTAAGGAAGCTGTACGTGAGGTTTATATATTTACCCTATCATTTTTATTATTGCTGTTGAAAACAAATTCTATATAGGATTTTCATCTTGATGGACTTTCCTGGCATGTTTGCTCTTTTTTTTTCATAAGAACCTAAAGGATAGTTTTCACATGGCCTAAACACTGTGACAGAAAGATGAACTAAAACTGATTCAGAGAAGCATTTTTGGAATCATCTTAGCTCTTGGTTCATTTAGATATCAAGTACGTCAAATTCACTCATAGTCCTGTTCATTGCACTGGCAGGAATCCTAACGATGTGTGGGGGCGTCTCATAGATTAATGCCTCTGAGGATGGTTTGCTCAGCTGAATGATGGCTGCTTCACTCTCATGGAATGCTGTGCAGTGTCCTCCTTGGGGTTTCTGGTAGCTTTCTACCTCTTTCTTGTGCCACATCACTGTCAGAGAGGAATTTTTGCTGGGATTGAAGCAATGTAGTGTTCTAAGGGGTCATCTAGGTTACTGGTGGAATGCCCCAGCCAACCATTACAGAAAAGGTAGGGGCAATTAACCAATAAACTGGAATGTTGAATCTTACTTCCTGGTAGCTCAGATGAATAGGTCTAAATATGGAGCATTCTCTGCTGGAAACATGGCTGTCTTTCTTTATGTCTGATATATGACCAAAGTTAAATGGTGCTGTGTATGAAGCCTATTTCTTTCTATTCTGCCTTTTGTGAAATGTCCTTTATTTCTCTGCTTTGTATTCCTGGTTAATGCTAATTTAGAAATATGAGCTTATGGCCATAGAGGTGAGGGAAGAATCACACACATATGTACTCATACATTTATAAACATAGATCACACATACATACATGTTGCTAGAGTGGACTTTAAATAATGATTAGAAAGACGAGGCTTTAAATGAGGTGTGCAATGTAAGTGTCAATATAAGTATCAAATTCCATGTTAGATGTAAATTGACTATGACTGGCTACAACCCACAGATGCTTTTAAGAAGCTTCTCAAAAGTAAAGCCAGAGAAAATAAGGATATAATCAACGGGGGAGAGAGATGTCTCTGATATCATAGCCAAAGGCATTGCCAAAATCTAAATACATCTAATGGAAAATAAGATTACAAGAGAAATAGCATTTCAGTATTCTATGAAATTGGTATACTGCATGAGTTTGTTACATATTTAGCTATTTTATTAGTTGTTCTAAAGATATGATTAGAAACCTTTTTATATGTGTGGAATTTATATATGTTAATATCATGAAATATAATATTTTTTTAGTTATGACAATTAAGTGTGATTTCTGCTCAATACATATTGATAGTTGGCATAAAGAACTGTGTGAAATTTTTTATGTTCAGTCTCTCAATCTAAAACCTCTAGATTTGAAGAGAAAAATATCATTTTATAGTCCCTCTCTTTTTATTCAAAAAGGAGGTTTGAATATAGTCTTCTGATATTCAATCTATAAAAATGTATCTAAAAATGGACATTAGTCTGTCTTACAGTCATTGATACTAGTTGCCTAACTTAGACCCATTTCCATTCTGTTTCCCAAGTTCAAATTCAAGAAAACACGAAGATTCAGAGAGAGAAAAATCCCTCTAATAAATATTTTTAAGAAGGAAAACAGAAACAAATATATCTTTGAAGAAAATATATTCAAACTATCTCCATAAAAAATATCATATGAAAAAAGTTACTCTCTGACACATAGACCTTTGGTATTAGTCTATTTATGCACAGGTTCTGATGGAATGGGCCAGTAGTTATTTTCAAGGCTCTGTTAAGACCACATACCTGAGGGATTCTTCTTAGATAAGGTGTTAGGAAACTATGCAAAAATGGTTCATTTTGTAAGAAAATTTTACCTATGGACATTTTTGGAATTCTCATTATTCCAAATTAAATAGCCAGGCCATCACATCTCTCCTTATGTGACTACAGCAACTTATAAGCACAAAAAATGATCAGCAGGTTCTCTTCTCATTTTAACAAAGGAAAAAAAAAGCCACTGACACTAATAGTCATCACTTTATAGGATAAAAGTTATCCTAACAGGAGGTCTTAGGACTAGCACAATTAAAAGAGAGAAAAATGATCATTTTATAACATTTTTTAGACTGTCCTGGAATATGGGAACTCATGCACACTTGGCAAGTTTATCCTGACTCTTCACATACATTACCATATGATGAATCTCTTTTAATTACCTGCTATTTTTATGAACAATGATAAATTTTCTTTTCCGAGGCAGTGAGATGCAAGACACTGGGGCATTACCTGTCTAGTCTGCTGATGAGTGGTGGGCTTCTATTTCAAGGATGTGACAGTGAAAGATGATAGTTGCCTTCTCCCAGTATTTTGCCTATTTGCTTTATTCTTTCCTGATACTTGTCTCCCAGACTTGAGGCTTGGGACCAAGACAAAAAGACTAAATTTCAAGGCTTTTTGAAGTCATTCTAAAAAAGTGGCTTTGAGAACATCCTGAATGGAAATCATTATTTTTGCAGAGAATTGGTGCCTACTTTTTTTTTTTTAATAAGACAGAAATATTGGGCAGTAGTTCTCATTTGAAATGCATTTCCAGGAAAGAATTATTAAACAGGACGTCTCACTACAGTAGGAGCCCTTGAGATGACTCAGCATAAATGGCAACTAGCTTCCCACTGCCTCCTCTCAAAGCAGGCTGGTGGGGAGGAAACTTTCCATCTGTAAGACACACCGGTCTTTCTGTCATTTCTACATCAAAGCCACAGCATGCCAGTCACCAACTGCAGAGCCAGTTAGGGCAAGTGTTGGGGTCCCTTATTCTTCGGAGAGTCGCTTAATGAGACGGAAATTAGGTCCCAGATTTTCAGCTGTGCTTTTTCACTTCAAAGGCAATTCCTGAATTAAGCTCTTCTCCGTAGATTTAGACGTTATTTAAGAAAATAGTTACTTTTCCCCCCCCACTCTTCTTGCAATTCCCAAAAATATGGCAAGAGAAATTCTAGCCTCCTTGATTTGTATGCAGATAATCTAGACCAGATGATCATAACCCTTTTATGGAAGCAATAGGTATATTGAACCCCCGGAGTCCTGATTCCCCAAGCTCCAGGGAAGATGTCCTACAAAAGAGGGTATGTGTTCGAGAAGGGTGGGGTGCTTTGATGGAAGCTGCTACTGCACAAATAGGGCTGGTTAGAGGTGGATTGGCTGGCAGAAAACCCTGATTAAAACACAGAGCTACTCAGATAGCTTTCTCAATGCTCTGTTGTCCCATTGGAGTCTCTAATTTCCCAAGAAGAGAGATGACTTAGATGAATAAAATTAAAACTATCAGCAACCAGAATATTTTCATATCTAATGTTGTATCAGTCTGTTTCTGTCTCTAGCATTTCCCCTTAAGTTCCATGTTAACCCTGTTCTTTTATTTTCTAGATCCTTGGTCTGGTATTTTCTATGGTCCTATACTGCCAGATTGGGAACAAATGAATCTGTGGATGTGTCGAGCTCTCATCAGTCAAACTCCTTTAAAATTTTGCTGTGGCCTTGTAACTTTAAATATATGAGTGCTGTATATGTTAGAAACAGCTGTCCTATTAAAATTTCTCATTTAGCTAGACCGCGGATATATTCTAGACATATTGAACATATTTAGGATTTCAGTAATACTAGGAAAATGAGATGACTGTTCATTTTTACTCAAAATAAAAGTAACGTTCTTTACATTGGCACTTTTTTGTGTGGGTCTGATCGCGTTGTGTTCAGGTGGTACTATGATTAAAATATTCACCTGGAGCCATGCAGTGGAATAATCTTTATCTCAGAGTGACAGGGCCATGGTAAGTTAAGGCAGTGCATCTAGGCTTTTCAGAAGCAACACTCTTTTTTGTGTAGTGTGTTGACCATTCGTGATAAGATTGAACTAAGTCTCCAGTTGAAAGGTTGAGAAAGTGGCCCAGTTAACAGAGTCGCCATCTCTTTTTTTTAATTTATGCCTGTGTCTACTAATGGTGTATCTCTTTTCTCTCCATCTATTTATGGGGACCAGAAGATTGAGTGCTGTCTTCCTCACCATTGAATTTCTGGTTCCTCTCTAGACCTTCCTCTGGGACATAGTTGTAACTGCTTTTATCTTTCTACTTCTCACAGATATTTTCACATTTTATTTTTTACTGAGGTATAATACACAGTACAGTGAACAAATCTTCAGTATACACCTATGTAAGCACTATCCCAATCAAGATACATGATATTTCCGGCACACCAGAATGCCCCTACATGCCACCTCCCAGGGGTGTGCTAGAGCTGGCTCATTCCGATTTGCCAGATCAGACTGTATGCATACACACCTCTTCCCAACTCTGCTCAGTGGCATCACATTGGTAGCTTGAAATCCACCATGGGAGAAGTATTTACACCATGGAAATTGGCATATGATATAAAATCAGGGATTTTGTTTTTTTGAGAGCTGGTTGTAAACATTTCCCAGTATGCCACCAACCTTCTCAGCAAATTCCTTCCCAAAGGTAATCACTCCTCTGAATTCCATGACGGCAGATTCATTTTGCCTATTCTTGAACTTTCTGTAAATGGAACAATAAAATATGCACTCTGGCTTCTTTTTTCCTCAACATTTTGTTTGTGAGATTCATCTATATTGCTGCATGCAACTGTAGTCTATTCTCATTGCTATGTAGTATTCCACTGTATATGAATAAATCTCACAATGTATTCATCCATCCTCCTGTTGATGGACAGTGGGTTTCCTTCCAATTTGGTATTATTATGAATAAAGCTGCTATAAACGTTCTTTTACTTCTTTCAGCATGTATATGTATTCATTTCTAGGTAGATATGCAGAAGTAGAATTGCTTTGTATACATATATTTAGATTCAATAGATCAGCGGTTCTCAACCTTCCTAATGTCACAACCCCTTAATACAGTTCCTCATGTTGTGGTGATCCCCAACCATAAACTTATTTTCGTTGCTACCCTATAACTGCAATTTTGTTACCGTTATGAATCGTAATGTAAATATCTTTTTGTTTTCCGATGGTCTTAGGCGACCCCTGTGAAAGGGTCATTCAACCCCCAAAGGGGTCGCGACCCACAGGTTGAGAACCGCTGCGAATAGATTCTGTCAAGAAATTTTCTAAAGTGGTTGTACCAATCTATACTCATACTAGAAAAGTATGATAAACTCAATCTCCTGTTCTGAGGAGGAGCAAGAGGAAGAAAGACATTCATTGTCAAGTAGATTGGCGTGACCAGCAAGAAGTGGGAAACTTGGGGGAGCTCTGAACTAGGTGAGCTTAGGTCATGGAACTAGTTAAGTGGAGGAGTTGTAATTCAGTCTAAGTGACTCAAAACCTGTGCTCCTTACGTCATATCGTTTGCCCTACCTTACACTGTTGTTGGGAGAAGTAGATCAGGAAATGAATATGGAAGTTCCTTTGTATAGTGTCAGGCACATATTAATATACTTTATGGTAAATATTTTATGGTATCAATGGTATAAAGAACTATTCCAGCCAGGGTAGGCAGGAAAACAAAAACTCTCTAGCTATTTAAATAATGGAAATATAATATAGGGAATTGCTGTATTAGTCTGCTTGGGCTGCCATAACAAAATACCATAGTCTAGGTGGCTTAAGGGACAGAAATTAATTTTCTCAAAGTTCTGGAGGCTGAAAGCCCAAGGTCAGGGTGCTGGCAGATTCAGTTTCTGGTGAGAGCCTTCTTCTTCGCTTGCAGATGGGTCACCCTCTTGCATGTCCTCATATGAAAGAGGGAGAGTGAATGAGCTCTCTGATGTCTTGTAAAAACAGTAATCCTATTGGATCAGGGCTCCACCCTTATGACCCCTTCTAACCTTAATTAATTCCTAACTTCACATACAGCCACACTGAGGGTTAGGGCCCAAACATGAATTGGGGTGGGAGGGGGCACAGTCAGTCTACAGCAATTGCTTACACATAGAAGAAGTAAGGAGCCAAATGGGATGGCAAGGTAAACCACGAATTAGCAGTAGGGAGTTGCTACCACTCTTAGGACTGGAGGGACAATGACAATGTCACCAGAGCCCAGAATCCAGGGCCAACTGGTGGAAGATGGAACCATGGCAGGGACAACAGAGGAAGGACTGTCTAGCAGGAGTAGGAGCCATGAAGGGGACTGAATAGCTACTGTCAGGACAGAGAAAGGGAGAAGTGGCCTGACTTCTCTTCTGCCTACTCCAATCTTTTTCATTTGTTTGTTTCAGGTGTACAAAGCAATGTAACAGTTAAGACATTTATACCCCTCACAAAGTGATAACCCCCCCAATCTACTACCCCTTTGACCCCTTTGACATCATATATAGTTGTTACTATTCCATTGACTCTATTCCCTATGCTGCACTCCACATCCCCTGACACATTATATATATATATATATATATATATATATATATATATATATAT